TGATTTTGTTGAATTTACGTCTTTAGTTTTCTTACAAAATCCGCAATCCATTTTTCTTTTTCTGCATACAAATCAGTTTATTTATACGTATGTATGTATGTACATATATTTTAAATATTTTATTGCGTGTATAAAAATATCAAAAGAGTTGCTTCTTATTTAAGTTCGTCATTGTTTTTTTTTTATAATTTTCGCTTTCTTGTCGACATTTATTTTTTGTTAAATTTTTATTTACTTTTATATTTTTCTGTTTTCAATATTTGCTGGAACTGTTTTCGGATGAAGACTGTACGTTGTATACTATGTAGGTGCTTCAAACTTCAATTTCTCCTCCGGCTCCTGCGATTTGTAATGTTTCAGGTTATTTCTTTATTTATATAAAATATTTATTAACCAAATTGTACAAAAGTTTTCTTTTTTGAACACCAGTTTATTTAAGGAAATGCAAATCTGTAAAACTTAATTACTTTTTTTGCATGCAATTTTGTGTCTTGTAAAAAATGTGGCTAAATTTTGCGTTACAAAAAGTTCCTGTTTATTTTAGCAAAACATTTTGTGTTTACAGTAAATTTTCCTACATTTTGTGCATTTTGAGATATATACTATAATGTACATGTTTTGGTTTAAAATTAAAAAAAAAAAAAATTATACGAAAAAGAAAATTAAAAAGTACAAATTCGACACCTTCAATTAAAAGGTTTTTTTTTAATAAATAAAATGTGTGTAATAAAAAAGGAATACAATCATTAAAAAATTCAAAAGTACCATTATTTTACTTTTAAATATAAAAAAATTAAAGGGAATAAAACTTTTGTTGTTAAGAAACTTGAAGAAAAAGATTTAAAATTACGATTATTTAATTTAATTTGTTTGGTTTTCGAAGTTAGATAAATTACAGTTTGGTATTGTTAAAAGGTTTGAGCAAAAATTTTTAAACTCTTTTATTTTGAAAATTTCGTATTCATGCTTTTTTAAAACAACAAAAATATATGTACATTTAAGTGAATTTTTATTCATTCATTGTTCATTTCAAAATTTATATATTCGCAATTTTCGAAATCGCTAATTCGTAAAAATTTCGCTATTTTTTACATTTCCGAAAATCTAAAAAATGGCTTTTACAGAAGCAGAAAGACCCGAATACAAAATTAAAGTTTTTTAAGTTAATTTTTCAAAATTGTAATTTTTTATTTTTTTTTTTTAAGCATCAAGTTAAAAGAAAATACAAAAATTTTATTAAAAAAAATTTATAAAAAAGTAACTGTGCAAAAAAATTACGACTTTAGTCTAACTTTATGAGCCATTTCATTTTAAATAAATGAAAATATTCCAAATTTTGCTAAGCGCGTCAGTAAAAACAATTAAATGCGAGCGTATTTTCGAAAACACCTTATTTCTGATATTAAATTGGCAAAATAAAAACACTGCAAAAAAAAGTTGTGTAGTTGGTCAAATGGAAAATTTTAGCTTCAATCTTTCTCGCTTTTTGAATAAATTGGCGAAGTACAGTGCCCGCCTTTTAAGTGGGCATGAGAAACTGCCCAATTTTTTCTTAATTATCCGAAATATAAAATCACTAAAAACTCGGAGTCTACTCAATGGAAAAGCTTGTTAAAAGTTATTGATTAAAATAAGCGGGGGGAACGATTTAAGTGAGGATCAATCATCCGGAGGATACAGTACTACCTATGCTTGCCACTTATGGCCCCGTATTGACTTTTCAAACACTAGAAGTTTGTCGATATCTCAGGCGAAAACAAACTTATACAACACATCTATGAGGCAGTATATAGTATATAACAAACCCAAATTAAAAAATGATTTAAAAATTTATTTTAAAATAAGTTTTTAAAAACTTAAATTTCAATGTATGAAAATATAATAAAATTTATAAGTGACCAAAACTCAATTCAAGTTCGAACTGTATGCTGTAAATAATATTGATGTCTACAGAAACGAAAAATTAACTATACCAATCCCTTAAACAAAACAAAATTGGAAAAATTTAAAACAGAAAATTATTTCATACAGTTTTTGTTCAATGCTCCGAGATTTTTCCATATTTTCCAGCCTTCTAATTTTTATTTGAAAATTTGGACGTTATCTTAAAATAAATTTTTTGAAATTTCTTAAAGTTCAAAATTTTTTTTCTTATTCAAAAAGTTTAGTTTTTTATCGAAAAATTCAAGTATAATTTATATTCAAGCTCAAAATTTACGTTTAACTGTATACATATATGTACATATATAGAAAGTTTCGAAAATTCTTTGGGTTTCAATACTTCCTACGTTCCAATTTTTAATTGAATATTTAGATTTTTTTTAATTCAAATTTGTTTTATATTTTCAAAAACTAGAAAATGTTTGAAAAATTCGTTTATTTTCAAACGAATTATTTGACGTAAACTGCATTTAATACGTTTCGAAGATGTTTCGGTGCAAAAAGAGCATTTTCGAACATTTCACAAAGTTTTGCCCAAATAGCAGACAAGTCGTACTTGGCAATTTATCAAATCGTAATTTCAACGTGTGAAACCAAAAGCAATTTCCGAAAAAAATATTAAAATTAGGAAAAGCAGGCGTTGTTGAATTTTGATTAGTTTTTTTTTTTTATATACGATTTTTTTATGTGTTAAAACCCACGTTACTTTTAGTTTAAATTTAATATTAGAGCAAAACGATATTTTTTTCAGTTTAAGTTTCCACTAAACCAGTTTTTACAGTGGTTTAAATTTTGAATTGTTTGATAAAAAATCGTGTTGTGATTCTTGTCTTCGGCTTTCTAAGAAAAATTGTCCGACGAATATTTTACGGGAATGTTTTAACCCTCTAACTCGTACCAGCATTTGCCATTTAGGGTCATTCTTGAAAAACTCGCTAAAAGTCAAAACTTTAAGGGAAAAAATAAAATTTCGAATCACTGTAAAAAATTGGCGGAAACAGCGCTCGCTACTTTTGTTACTGATATCAAACGCTATCGTTTGAGACTGGTTTTTCTTACCATATTTTTTAATCAAATCAAATGGTTGAAACTCGAAGAAGTCCTAATTTTAACTCAGAACACATTTTCTTTGCTGATTTTTTTTAGCAACACGCTACTCTTAAGCTGGGACGTCGTAGCAGGTATTGCAATAGCCCCATACGTACATATAGTATATACATCTGTGTCAACTTGTGAACAAAATATTTAACATATTGAAAGGTTCGTAGAAATATTGCTGAAAGAGTGACTGAAACAAGAGACTCGTGCTACAAAACTAAAGGGTCGATTACGAATCGCAAACAAACTTCATCTGCTTGCCAATGGCTGGAATGGTATTACGGATGGCAACTAGCAAATGAAAGCTGGAACTGAGTGGCTATATTGACAATCGCTTTTCTTTTGAGCCGGGGAAATTTTGATTGAGAAAGCTTCTATTATCTCCAACTCCACAGCGTTACATTTCAGTGGCGTTCCAGTTCAACTATGGACCATAATCGACTAAAAAAAATTTATTGGTTTATAAATTTAAAAAAAAAAAAACATCATGCTGTCACAACTGTTGTCATTGAGTGACCAACTTTTTTAATTAGAATTTCGTGTAGACTGGACACAAATTCGGCAATAGCGAAAAAGTGTGTAAGGTGTCACTACTAAAACAAAGGAGAAAAGAGAACGCAAAACAACAAACAGAAGACTAACGGACATTTACAACTTTGTACGCTTAAACATTTACAATGTTTTTTCGAGTTTTTTTTTTCACTTTTTATTATAGCATTTTTCTCAAACAAAATACACAATTTAGAACCTATTAACTTTACTTTTTGATATTTATATGTATGTATGTATTTATGTGGTATGTAGGTATGTTATTATTTAAATTATAATTTTTTCGCTGTTTTTTGTACATTATTTTTACTAAAGTGGTTTTGTTTGTTTGTTTTTTTTTTTTGTTTATTTTGTTACTGTATAAATGTATTGTATGTATTTTAACTTACTGTAGCACTTTAAAGTTTGCTTTATTTTAGGTTACAAAGTTTCATAATAAATTTTCAAATATTTTAATGCATGAATTTCTATTGACTGCGGCTGTATATATATGTCACATTCATAACTGCTTATAACTGTAACTATGTATGTTGTATGTATTTTGTGTTTTGTGAATTCACGAAAGTCTTAAATATTTAAGTATATACTAACGGAACATGTAAATGTCGGAAACACACACAAAAAAAGAAAAAAAGGTTGATTTTAAAGCGCACAGCACAGTACCATTAAACATAAAATGAAACGATATTGTTTACAAGCAAGTTTTTACACAAAAAAAAAAATCGATATGAAAACTAAAAAAAAACGCGCATAAAGTTTCAAGTTTTTTGTTTGTTTTGTTTTTGTTGTACATTAGTTGCATCATTAACAGAAATTAGAGCAGTAAAGCAGAAAAAAGAGACTTTAAATTAACTAATTTTATTTCTTTTTTTTTATTTATAATATATAGTAATTTGTTTATGACTAACTTTAACCATTTCGCAGTTATTATTTCTTTTTTTTTAATTTTCATATTTATGTATGTAATGTAATAATAAATTGTAGTACTTATTATGTTTTCGTAATGTTTTCTGTTGTTGCCTTTGTTTATGCTTGGTTTTTGTTTTTTGCTTTTCATTTTAATATTATTGTAATTGCAATTGTAACTGTAGTGTAAAAAATAAATTACGTTTATTTAGTTTATTTCTTGACATTTTCTCAATTTTTTTTTTTGAGTTAATAGTAGTTGTTGTAGGTTGCAATATGTACTAAATATTATTGGTAGTTGTAGCAGTAAATGTTGCTCTTCACTAAATGTATGTATTTATTTATTTATTTATTTGTATATGTATTTATATGTATCTATTTTAGCAGTTTTAACTTTTATTAACTTTAATTATTATTATTACTTTAATTTTCTTTTAAATATATTTTTATTTATGCTGCAAAACATGTTGCTGCTGCTGCTGCTGCGCTGTTGTTGTTGTTTTTGCTGCTGCTGCTGCTGCTGCTAAAGAGGCGGCTTAACGCGCCCATACGTCCACTACTGCCATCGCTGTGCTGCTGCTCTGCTGTTGTGTAGTTGTTCACTCGACTGTTGCAGCAACTAAGGCTCCCGCTGATTGAGTTTCACACTGAATAGCTGCAGTCACCGCCGGTGCTTGGGACACAAATCACTGTGCTTATATCTAAACAACTAACTTCCACGCCGCCTCATCTACCAAGTTGTGGTTTATACTCGCTTACTGCAGCAGCGAAGGCAGCAGCCGTGCCGTGCCGTGCCGCTTAACATGCCGCAAGCGTGAGATGCGAGCCAGACGTAGTAAGCTGCAGCCTATGGAATCTTAACAGTTTTGCAAGCAACACTAAGAATATATAGCTGTTAATAAATTGCAGTTGTGCAGCAGCATGCAAGCGTTGTGTGCGCTGTTGCGGTGACTGTGGCTGCCACATTTTGAATATTTGCAGTTTGCGTTGGGAATGCGGCTGCGGCTGCGGCGACTGCTGCTGCTGCTGCTTTAGTTTATTGTGTTGTTGTGGTTGTTTCTGAGCCGTTTGCTTTTTCAGTTGTTGTGAATGTTGTTGTTGTTGTTGTTGTTGTTGTTGCTGTTTATCACAATAACAATGACAATGTTGCTGATGACGATGATGGCAGTAATGATCATAAGGACGATCAATTGTATATTGGTGACGACGCAGCCATTGGCAACGACGTCACTCGCATTTTATTCGATTCTATTGCATCGATGCAAGACCAGCCGAGCTGCTGATGTGCGATGAATTACCTAATGTGGATGCCATATCCTGGTAGCTGAACTGTTAATAAATAAATAAATAAATAAAAACAAAAATATTAATGCCTGGTATTTATCAGTGCAATCACTGAAAAACGAAGTGATGTGGGATAATTACAGATAATGCAGGTTTATGAAATTGATATGAAATCTTTTTAGAAAAAAACACATTTAACGTTTTTTTTTCTAGAAATGGTTTTAAAAAAAATCGCCTTCCTACATGCCGACATTTTTATATATTCCAGTCTTTTGTTAGATTTTTTCTCGGGTTTTGTTGATTTAATTTTTTATATATATATATTTTTTTTTTATTATTTTATTTTATTTTTTTAATTTTATTTTTTTTTTTATTTTATTTTTTTAGTTTAATTTTTTTGTAATTTTGTTTAATTGTTTTAATTGTTTTTATAATTTTCATATTTTTTTAAATTTTTAGATTTTTTTCTATTGTTTTTAATTTTTTTTTTGTTTTTCGAATTTTTTAAACATACCTTGCGTTTTTTATATCTTGGATTTTTTATCTTAGAAATTTAAAAAAAAATTTCAAAAATTTATTTTAAAGTATTTTTTTTCAATTAATGTTCATTTCATTTATTTAAAATTTTTTTGTTTAATATCAAATATTTTATTTTCGATTTTTTCTTCTATAACAGAAATCACATAAATAAAAGTTTCAAAGCTTGCGCAAATTTTACAAAAATTAATCAAAACATTTTATTTTGCATTAAATTAAACTCACCTGCGGGAAAAGTGGCTCTTCTGCTATCGAACCTAATGTGCCAGCAGGATCTGGCGGCGTCAATTCCACACTTTCACCGGTAAACTCTGTATCGAAATAGCGTGTATCTGTGTCGGATACCACTTGTGGCTTAAAAGGCGGCGTTATCTAAAAAAAAAAATATTGCGGCAAATTCGATATTTGAAAAAAAATCTAAAATAAAAAAATCAGGCAAATATCAATTATGTACCCTCTTGTTCACTAAATCCGTCCAATTAATACTCGCAAAGAAAGGATGCGCTTGTATTTCTTTGACATCATCCTGGCCACCACCAAGACGCTGGCGTGGATCCTTAGCCAATAGGCCGGCAAGTAAACTGCGCGCCTCATCCGATATTGTGCGAGGGAATCTCACCTCCTCCATTAAGATAAGTGTGAATAGTACATCATGATCTTGATTAAAGAAAGGAAGACGTCCACATATCTGTTGCATAAAAATAAAAATTTATTTTAAACAAATTATTAAAATTATCAAACAAAAAAAAAGAAGCTACAAACCATCTCATACATGACGACACCAGTACCCCACCAATCGACCGCATGCCCATAATCGTTGTCCTCTAATACTTCAGGCGCCAGATATTCGGGCGTACCGCAGAACGTCTTCGTAGTACGGCCATAGGTGATATCCTCTTTACACAGCCCAAAGTCGGCAATCTTAATGTGACCATCTTTGTCCAACAATAGATTTTCCAATTTTAAATCACGATATATAATGCCCTGAGAGTGTAGGTAGCCCAAAGCAGAAATTATTTCGGCACCATAAAATCGCGTACGATCCTCGGTGAAGAGGCGTTCACGGCTCAGGTGAAAGAAGAGTTCACCGCCATTCACGTATTGCATCACAAAGCAGAGACGATCGTTGGTTTGAAATGAATATTTAAGCGACTGGAAAGGAATTAAAGAGAGGTTTTTAAATTGCATTTTACGCAAAGTTATTTGAAAAAGCTTAAGACATTTTAAAAAGCATTCAGCTAACTTACAATTAGGAAAGGGTGATTCGTAGTTTGTAGCACACGACTTTCTGTGATTGTGTGCGCGATTTCATCCTTTTGTATGATTACCTCCTTTTTGAGAATTTTAATTGCGTACAGCTTTGCGGTGGCCTTTTCACGGCACAGAATCACTTTGCCGAAAGTGCCTTTGCCCAAAACTTTTAAGAACTCGAAATTTTCAAGTGTCTGTAACGACGAAAAAAATCAAATAAAAGAAATTGCGCAAAAAATTAAATTCAAAATAAAAAAAATATTGCAGAAAATTAAAAATGGCAAGCATGAGTTGTTTGAAAATTTGAATTGAAATAAATATTTAGTTTTAGCAATAACTCTTTTGTATTGACTGAATTGCGGTTCTCAACTGGCGAAAATAAAAAAAATAGTTTGTTAGCATTCGAATACTGAATATTTGGATCGATTATATACATTTAATATTCTTTTTACAATACTTACGACTTTCTTAACGCCACCACTGTTGCGCTTCGTTGTGCCCTGCACGGAAAAACTATTACGTAGTTCCACTTCGGCAATGGATGCCATATCCACGTCAGACATGTCTGTTGATGTCGATGGTGACATGGCCGTTTCGCCCAATTCACTCAAGCGACTCGCGACGTTTCTGTAAAGAAGAAGAAATAGAAGATAATGATAATATACATACATATGTACATGTAGATATGGCGTATGAGTAACTTTCTTTTCTGCTCATTTTTCATACAACAAAATCTTTGCGTATTTTCATTTCATCACTCATTATTTATAAATCGATTTTCTTCATTAGTAACTTGAAATTTTTTGTAACAGAACAGGCTTTAGCACAAATGCAAAAATTTGCAACAGAACCTGTAATTTTCTAAATTTTTCTTCTATTAAAGTTTGATTTATATAGGAATTGGATAGTGGCATCCATTGAACATTTTTGCCGTAAACCAGTGTTATTTAAAAAATTCAAGGCAATGTAGAAAGAGAAAATTATTCTGTGGATTCAAAAAAAAAAAAAAAAAAAAAAAAAAAAAAAAAAATTAAAACAAATTTTGGATTACGAGGACGAATGGGTATTAAAAATGCCCTTTTAATTAATTTTAATTTTTTAAGCCTATAATGTTAGAAGGGCGAAATTCGAGGATGTGGTGGAGTGTATATTATTAGTCTTTAACATCTACAGTTTCAATACTGACGTATCCTTAAGACAAAAAAATTTAACCTGCCTTAGTTCTATAGATTTTTCTTTTTAATTTGATGTTCCTACGGCTTTTTTACATTGCACTGAGTTTTTTAAATAATTTTTTGTAATAATCATATTTTGCAAATATCAAAGTCCTTAAAAATCCTGAAGAAAAACTAATAACGCAGTCTTCCCATATATAGCCAATAGTTGCGCTAATATATTGGTTTATTTGTTTTTTTTTTTTGCTTTTTTTTTGTAATAAAAAATTAGCACGAAGTGCTTTAAATATGTAGCAAAATGAATTTGCTGGAATTTCATTGAAAATAGGGGAATTTTTTCAGGAGTTTCGGGTAATTAGCCCTAAGAGAGTTGGCATCCCTGGCTGAGAATCAAAGCAAAGAGAAAAGTTAATATGTGACACGCTGAGTCTAAGTCGCGTCTAAGTTTCTATGTAAGTCAAGTCAAGTATAAGTCTTGCATAACCCAGCTTAAAGGATCTAACTTAAATTATGGCAAACAAATAATTACAGAGTTGCCACCTGATTGAAAATTATAGTTTAAGTAAATTGATAAGACAAAGTAAATATTGCAATATGGCTGTCAGAAGAAAGTGGTTTAAGAAGGCTTACATCCGAAAATATTTTTGTGGAAGGTTGTCACCTGTATGAAAATTTTTATTTGATTTTATTGATCCAATAAATTAAATACTGCAATATGGGTATCAAACTAAAGAGTTTTAGGAAATTTTACTGCCAAAAATATTTTAGAATAGGGCTGCCAGCTACTTGAAAAATTTTATTCAACTTTAAAATGATGAAATAAATGAAATATTACAATACGGGTATCACACTAAAGAAGATTAAGATTATTCAGTTATATTGATAAGATATGATAAATACTGAATTAATAAAGCTTTGAAGAAAGTGCACAATATTTAGAATAGAGTTATAAATAAAATTTCAAGGATTAAATACTTTCGAAAATATGTATGTCACCCACATTCATAAAAAATTAAGTATGTTTCATAAATCGAAAATTTGTTTGAAAATCTCACTTCATACAGCGCTTCAAATCAATTTTAATGAATGAAGCCATAAGTTTTAAAATTTTTTTATATGTAAAAAAAATTCCTAACACCTTTAGCAAGAAAATAAACAAAAATCTGAGGGATTTTTCAGCACTTTAATATACTAATGGCCCTATTCATTAAAAATAAAATACATTTATAAAGCTCTATAAAGTGACATTTTCATACAAATTTTCGATTTATAAAACAGTTAAAGTCTTCTTTATTTTTTATGAATTTGGGTGTAAAATTTAATTGGCTCTCACACTGCAAATAAATTTTTTTTCTAAAAATTCTGATTAAAAACTTTGAAACTTGTATGAAACTGAGCTTAATCGAATAACTTTCATATGGGTTATAAACTTGATACTTGAACTGATTTTATTGTTCGCTTGGGAACAAGTTTTTAGTTTTATGGAATGTTGGGCTGTTTCTCCTTTGATGATTGCGAATGTATGAATCTACTATTTTGGCCCTAAGTGTTTTAAAAAATATGCGTACAGCCCGGTTAATTTGAATAGGAACACATATTTTCCTCAAGACCCAAGAAGCTTATATCTGGACTTGTGGCCATCAGAGAAGCTTCTTTTTGATCTCGTTTTAATAAAAACTAAAAAAATAAACTTCTCTGATGCCCACAAGTCCAGATATAACCTATTCAGGTGATTCGGGCTTAGCTAGCTAAATAAGAGTTGGCATGTATGTATGCACGTTAATAATTGTTAGAAAATTTATATATGTACATACATACAAATATATTTAAGGGGTTATTCTCTCACCTGATAGCATCGGTCCACTGTTGCCTTTCGATCTCTTTTTCCACACAAAATGTTCGCTCGATAACGTTCGTCCATTGCAGGCCGCGTATAATAAATGTGAATGGTTTTGGACGATCGACTGTCATAATTTGACAGCCGCGTACTGTGAAATTATTCAATGGATCAGCGGGTGCATTATTCACCGGCGGGCTTTTATAGCCCATCAAAGTGCCATCGTCGCGCAATATGAAATAACGTGAACGCCAGGTTTTTATGTGTTCGCCACGCTTCTGTAGCCAACCTTCTTTCACGATGGTGGCGTGCGGACCACCGCCAAGCGGTTCGTATGTGGGCGAGGTGCCGAGTACGGCAGCTGTGCTGCTGCCGGTCGGTGCAGCTGTGCCACTAGCAGCCATTGTGCGACCACTGTTGTTGATGCTGCTGCTGCTGCTGCCACCACCACTGTTTGGATTGCTCTGAAAGTAAGTACCGGCAGTAGTTGATGTAGACGCAGATGTTGAAGTAGAGCGATATTGTTGGAGCTGTTGCTGAGTCTGTGTCTGTTGTTTTTTATTGTAAGATGCGGGTGGCAATGTTACAACGTTTGGAATTACTATTGCGGGTTCGGTTGTGGTTGCGTAGGCAGTGTTGTTGCTACTATTACTAAAATTGTTGCTATTGTTGTTGCTAGTACTACCCCCACTATTGCTGCTGCTGCTGCTGCTGCTGAAAGGATTCGAGAAGCTGCCCACAAAGCTCGAACTCAATAAGCCAAGCGCCGATGAGGATGAAGAGACACTTGACGACGCAGAGGCAGATCCTGCTGAAGTGGCCAATGCGGTGGTGCTGACGGCCGGCGTTTTGCCACCACTTGTTGCGACTACAGTTGATCGCCGCGACGAGGAAAACGATAGGTAATTCGTGGTGAGGCCTTTTCGTTTAAACACAAATCACAAGAAAAAAATAAAAACTAAAAAGAAAAATGGCTCACAACAACACAAACGTTGTTTAAAACAACAATTTAACGTACGAAAAATTAAACAGAGTTGATACGATACCGTGACGACGTAAAACTAGAAAAACGGATCACCACAGTGGGCGGCAATGGGTCAGTGATGACAGTGCCGCAAAGTAACACGCTTGGCTGGAAAAAACTTGGAAGCGGGTGGCTTCAGAGTTCTTTGGGCCTTTAGTTCTTGTTATCACTACAGAGAAGAAAACAGATTTTCCGCTGACCGATAGACGCGTCGAAAAATTGTATTTCTCCAGTCGCTTGCTTTCTTTCACACACACTCTTTGGTTGTTATTGCTGCGTTGATTAAATTGTTGTCTTTGTTTTTTTTTATTTACTTTTGCTCGATTATGCTCTTAACTTTCGGACTGCTCCAAAGTCAATATCAAAACACGACGTCACCGACTTTACTTTGTTGGATGCGCGCGCGCGCTTATTCGTTCAGTGCACTTCGGGTTCTGAAATGGAAATGAAGAAGATATATATTCAGTTAAAGAGTCAGGCTGTCAAAAGGTAAACAAAAGTAAATTACAAAAGTACAACAACAAAAATAGCGACTACAGCAAAGCAGCGAAACACTACCCAATAAACATTGGGCTTTCGGTTCACAATTCGAAAATGATTGTAAAACAAATCTTCTTTTCCAGTCTCACCTGCGATAACTAATGTGGAATATGTTAGTATTCGATTCGAGAACTAGGCCATTCTGCAGCAAAACCCAACCGTCGTTATCCAATGTATTTTCCCTTCGTTAAGAATTCGAATTTTTATGAGAGAGAGAGAGAGAGTGATTTTCTAATATTACCCTTCGAGAATGAGCTGGATTTGGTTATAAGTTCGTTTTTAGTTCGATATGTATATTGGTCATTTTCGAACGTTCGCCAAATTGGTAATGGGGTAGCGTAGTAACGCGCTGACTAGCGACGAGCTGAGCAAAAAATAATGGCATGAATGCAACGAAACTGCATTGACGCACACCGCACGCTGCAGACAGCACGCAATAACAATAACAACAATCCCATCAGTGGCAGTAACTGCAGCCACAACTGCAGCGTCACGCATATAAAAGGCAAAGCTACACATACAAAAACAATAAACTAGTACACACACACACACACGGCAAGTGTCGTTAAAGACGTTGAAAAGCGCAACGCGTAAAGTCTAAAATGTCGCAAATGATTCATGGCGCAAAAATCCCCGCCACAGCGCTGTAATGCCCCGCACAGCACCAGTGCCGTCAGCTCCGCCGCCACCACCACCAGCCAGCCAGCCAGCCAGCCAACCATCACTAATACCATCACCAGCGTCACTGTCAGTGTCCGTCAAGCAAGACAAACACAAAACACAAAAAAAAAAAAAAAAAAAAAAAAAAAGTATTGATGAACCATACTCTAGCCACCAGGCAGCCAGCCAGCTAGCTCAGTAGTCATCACCAACCAAATGGCCGCCACCACCAGTCGCCGGCAAAAGTCAAGCAGCCAGCCGCCAGCTAAATGCCATCATCGGCCAACCAGCCAGCGAGCCACAAAGCGCCACTCACTGATCGTTGGCGATCGCTGGCGCAATTGCAGCCCGATGCAGCGGTCCCTAACCCCCCCCCCACCCCCAAAACAACAGTTTTGTCATTGTTTTGTTGTTTTTGGATTATTTTTATATTTCTTATCGCCTTTTTGTAAGCACTAAATGCAACCGCAAAGCGATATCGCCGCCGTCACCCATTTTTGCCGTTGCCCCTAAACCCTTGAGCAACAATTCATATTTTCACTGTAAAAGCCGCAAATATTGTTTTGATGAATTTTATATTTATTTTTATTTTTATTTTTTTTTTTTTTGTTATGTATATTTTTATCGTATTCAAAGAATAAAATAAAAGAAGACAGCAACAAAAACAACACAACTGATGGTTAGGCGCCTTGGTGCGCTAAATGCGGGCGTGCAAGCGTTTTTTTGTATGTAAAAACATTTGGAAGCGTCAGCTATAAGTTGAGCGATAAGCGCATAGGCGTTGGGAGAAATTGAAATTGTAATATTTTTTCATGAGAAATTAAATGTTTAAAAGCAAAAGTTATGAGGAAATGTATGTATGTAAATATGTAGTTCGCAAAAATGGTGTTGTTTCTCAATTGAAAGCGAGAAAAGGATAAAAAATATTAAATCATACAAAATTATAATATAGATACAAAATTAAAATTAAAAAAAGTATAATATAAAAAATTATAACAAAAAATAATAATTTGTTCTATAAAAAATTACAATATAAAAATATATACATATGTATGTATGTAGTGTTAAAAATGTAGTACAAAAAAAAATAAAAATTGTATTAAATAAAAATATACAAAACAATAAAACGAAAGTGTACACCTTGTTCTAATATAATATTCACAAATATTATCATGAAAAAATTGTTGCATGAATTAAATATTTATGAAAATATCAGTAGTTCATTCTATAATACAGGAGTGGTCAAGGCCGAGGCCGCGAAGAGACACATGTAAATTCTAAATGCTGCAAAGAGCCACAAAAAAAAAAAATAACAGAAACAGAAATTTTAAAAATTCCAATTTATCCTCTTTGACATGTGCAATATTTTTTTCTAGCCATGGAAATTGATGAAATCTCATTTTTTTGAGATCATGTATAAAAAGATGTAGTTTAGCTTCCAAAACTTAAAATAATTGTTATTCTTTCCTGTAGACACAAATTCAAGTTTTGCAAATGTTCCATCATATCGGTTAAGAATAATAAGTCAGATAGCCAATTTTCATTCTCCAATTGCGGGTAATGTTCCGATCTCAAATTGCGTATGTGTATATAAAAAGAATAAAATAAAATAAAATAAAAACAACACCATGGAAAAGAATGTCCAGCAAAGAAATACATATGTATTTTAAAAAGTAAAAAGAGCCAAAATGCTCTAAGCAAAGAGAAAGTATGAAGGAGCCGCACTTCGCTAAGCAAAGGGCCGCATTTGGCTCAAAGAGCCGCGTTTGCCCACCGTTGCCATAATATAAACCATAAGAATCAAAGTTAACACTTCGAGTATGGAGTTTTCAACTTCTCTTATTCACTCCTTTTTTGTTCGTTAATTTTGTTTTTGATATAATTTTTTGCTTTTTTATATGTTTTATGTTTTTATATATATTGTTTTTTTTTTTTAATTTTATGTTTGTATATATATATATATTTTTAATTTTGTTTTATTTACACATACCTACATACATATATTTATAGGTGCTTATATGTATGTATGTATGTACTTAATTTTTTTGTTTTTTATACATTTTATTTTGTTTTTATATTTTATTTTTGGTTTTTTATACATTTTGTGCTTTTTATATATTTTATGTTGTTATATACATATTTAATTTTTATAAATTTTATAAATTTTTTTAAAGTTTCTTATATATATATTTTTTTTATTGAATATTTAATTTTTTATATTATTATTTACTTATTTAACTTAAAAAAAAAAATTCATTTGATTTAATTTTCTATTGTTCAATTGATTTTTTCTTAATTTTCTAATAATTTTTTACTTACTTTTCCGAAAGTTTCTTAAATTCACGAAAAATTCCCAAAAACTCCCGGGAAAAATCCGTAGCCACCAAATACCAAAAGATCAAAAAATAAATAAATAAATACGAATAATCTTGAAAAAACCTGAAGGGTTCTGCAAAAATCCCGAAAAAATAAGCCAAACTTTACCATTCAATTTAGCCTTGAAAAATTCAAATCAAAACTAATCTTTTTTTTTCAAATACTAATACTAAAATTTTTAAGTCATAAAGAAATTATGTTCTAAAATAAGAGCGAGGATAATGGCATCTTCGAAAAGCAGTGCAACAATTCGTTCTGCGGCAAGTCTTTCCAGCACGCCCCCTTTATCTGCTACCGCCAACGATTGAGTACCACTAAAATACTTTTTACTACTACTTTAAACAATTTATTGTTCAAATAAGTCAAAGTAACGGAACCCCACACTTGATGAAACCCCCCAACCCCAAAGCCTGCCAAAAAGGCATTTAACTCTTTTCTCAGGACAAGATCGGTCGCATCTAGAAACTGATTACGAAGATAATTGAGATTAGAAGAGTAGAGCGCAGGGAGGTTCTATGCAATACAACGGAGAAAATATTTGCATATAGTTTATTTAAGTATAAGCAAGTAATCTAAATTCTCTAGATCCGCTTCCAAATGATCGAGACTGCAAAAGTTAGGGGAACAAAGGTCTGTCGCACAATTAAAAAAAAAGCAATAATAATAATAATAGTAATATGCACTTTCATCTCAAGTATGTATGTATGTACATATGTATGTATATGAAAATTGACGTCAAAAAAAAAATTAGCTTCACAGCCATTCAAAGTTATCGAAAGTCTATTTCACGAACATCTCGATGACGCGTTATAAAACAAGTGCATCTGTACTTGCAGCATATGTGCATACATATGTAAAACTAAGCTGCCTATAAACAAATTAACCCTTTCACTCCGCTATTCTTGCTAATTTCTTCCGCATGGAATTTATTAGCTTAACTAAATTCACGTTAAGGCGTAAATATTTCACTACAACAAATGCAAGCACATGCACATCCCTGCATGCATATGTACATTTTCTACACATGGATATGTAAATAGCGTATTTTTCATTACGTCAATTGTTTGCTGATATTCTTATTACAAAGCGGAAAATGACGCCACCGACCTTTCCAAATCATCAAATAAAAGTGAAATGTTGCAATTCGTTAAGTAAATTATCAGTATGCATTAGGCAAACAGATTTTTACAGATTTACAAATTGCTATATAGTCGCAGAAATATGTACGTCAAACTACAGAAAGATGAAGCTATAAAGTTTCAAGTAAAGTAATTAAATTTTTGATAAACGTAATTGGATTTTCTAGTACGTATTTGGTAACGTTTTTTTTTAATTTCAGAGTTTTACGCCGACTCCGAACGGCGATTGTATTTTTATGAGAAGCTGTTTTTCATGGCAGAAATACCCCCCTGCCGGGTGGCGACCGCTGTTAAGAAAAAGTTTGTTTTCTAAATTTTTTTGCGATGTTGCTTTGTCCAGGGCTTGAATCCAGGCCCTCCGGAGTGGAAAAGCACACTGCTTACCACTACACCACTACAGCAAAATAACATAGAATTTTCTGCAGTTAAGTTTAACTAATTATTTAACTATATTTTAAAATAGATAATTTAACGGTCCTTAATAAGTTTTGCCTAAAACACATGAAGTGGTATTTAGGCACAGGATGATTTTTTTTTGTTTTCAAATGATGTTCCAATTTGAGAAGGGGCAGAACTAGTTTCAATACCGATCGTGAAGTAAAATTCACATGGCTTCGCAATTAATTTTAAACAAGTGGCAACCCTCTTCAAAAATATTTTCGAAATAAAGCTACTTAAACTTCTCTCATTTGACATCCATGTTCAAATATTTCATCTGA